AGGATCCTTCCATCTTTTTCTCGGACTGGGACCTGTTCATATATGTTCTTGGCAGATGATCCAGAAGTGGTTTGCCATTGCCTTCTTCTGTGTGTGAATGGAGTAATTGTTGGGATGCCACGGAGGAAAACTCCGTGTTGCCTAGACCACGGCCTTGCCCAACACAAGTTATAAATTCGGGCACCGCCGGGAATCGAACCCGAGACCCCAGGGTTCGATTCCCCTACCAGACAATAAGGCGCAACAACCCAGAAGACTGGGTTGACGCCGTGCGGTCTTGTATGTAGATACCAACGTTTCGGAGTAGCATATTGCCTTCATCTTCAGGGCTGAAGTGCCTAAATGTTTGTGTCTATGTACAATACCAGTAATAACGTTATAGAGGAACAGATAATCCCCTAAAAGCGTGTAACAATTCTGTAGGCAAGAGTTGGTCGGCAACCGCGATTTCGCATCCTTTGCGCAGAACCAGACAGACCCTGGCGTTTGAACTTCGCCGATTGCCTTCTTCATTTCATCTTGATTGTCGTGCAGACTGGCAACATCGGCTCCTTCACGTTTCCCAGGCTCCGTCCATCCGACGGGGTTTCGTCCTTCCTCTGAAAACCTTCCCACGCTAGTCTTTGGTGTTACTCGATGGTAATAATCCTTAGTTCGTGGCCGCAGTGGTTGTGGCTGGTGGCCTGGTGGTGAGCATAAGACACTGTTTGGTCAGGTAAAGCCTCGCAGGTAGCCCTCGGGTCGCAGGCACGCGGCATCTGCAGCCTCCAGCAACAGAGATTTCCTCTGCAGGGGCTGGGGGGGATATTATACTGCAGAATACAACGACGAGAAACTTTTATGTGCTGCAATTTTTATTCTGCGATCTGCAATGAATCAAAATTATGTTAAATTTTAATGGTAAGTCGAACAATGTTTGCCCGACGTGGGTTAGCATAGCTGTGAGATGCCTAAGTAGTATTTTGGATAGGCTGTTCGAATCTCGGCCGGGACGAGGTGTTCCTTCAAATTGTTATTTCTGGCAAGTGAAAGTAAGTGATTTTGGAATAGGCCAAACTCGACGCCTGACTAATTTTCGTGACTTAATATGTGAGTAGACAGCATTATTCCGACATTATTTATTAATACATTATAACAAATGTAATCAGTTTTCCAATTCGACTTGGGACCAGTGGTGGGCTCTTGTGAACGCGGTAATGAATATGTATGTTTTGCCCTTCTGTTTCCATAAGAGGTGGGAAGTTCCTTGTATATTAGAAAGATTTTAATTATCGTCCACAAGGAAGATGGACTTAAAAAAATGGCGCAGTGGGTACAGTGGTTCATTCCTCGGGGGTAATTCGGCCGGAACGTGAAGCCAGCCACTCACCTCAATTTAGTGCCGAGGTTAGGAATGCTCGGAGCTATGTTTCAACTCTCCTCCCTGTGTCTTCATGGCGTCGTTCTTTGTTTTTAATTAAGCTACTCAACCTTTACGTAATTTTCTGCTTCACTGCAATTCGAAGACGTTTCTCTGCAGTAGCGACTGCTTTTACTGTTGGATGAACATAAAAATGGTAAACATATGTGGGGTATGTTCACTTGTACCGTTACATAATCCGTTCTGTTACACGTACTGTTTGTTGTCTATATTTATAAGTAATTGTTTTTTAAAAAAAAAAGTTCTGCTCTGATTAATTCTGCAGTATAACAGAATGAACGTGTTTTTTTTTTTAACTTCTCCTACTCACGGTCAATTCCATGGTATTATAACGACACTTACTTACAAGCATCCACGAACAGAATCAGAAAAATAAAACAGTAGAAGGAAACAAAGCCATTCCGGCATGATTTCGGCTATTAAATCATCATAGCACACCTAAAGCCTGCCAGTTCGATCATCTGGCTGCTTTCCTTTGTTACTGCGGAAACCACAGCTTGACGTGCTCTTAACATTAGTTCTTAGTCCGTCATCTTAGTATTAATTCAGATCTGTGGGAACATCGATGAATACAGTGTTGCCAATATTATTTTCTTCCAAATTCTTTTTTGTCTTTATGTGTCGTAATTTATCGCCTGTTTGAGCTGCATATCCAGCAATATTCGTCTATGGCAAGTGTCGTGTCTGTTCGTTTGTCAACGTAGTTCGTCGTACCTTCTTCGTTTCTAATCGTGTTTATGGCCTTTTATAGCATGTTATAGACTATTTATCGCTCGTTTTTTGTTCTAAAGCCTGAGAACAAAAAACTAAGTCTGGTTAAGTTTCTCACGCAGTTGGTAACACGAAGACCAGAATCTTAACTGTGAACACCATCTAGTGTTACTTTTTTAAGTATGCAGGTTCTACAGCAGTTAGAATTTTATTGCAAATTAGTCATTTATCTAATCAGTACCATTTTCTGTTAGTAACATTTTATATATTTTTGTTTATGGAAAGATAATATCAAAATGATTTCGAAGGAAATTATTATGGTGTGGTCTGTAATGTTCAGTTGCTTCACTACAGAGCCAATTAACCCTTTGAAGCCGAAGATCGTCTAAATATTATTTATGAATTCAGTCCGTACCGCGAAGAAAACACTACACCTCACCATTACGAAAATCAGCTGGTTAACCCTTTGAAGCCGAAGCTCGTCTTCATAATATTTACGAATCCAGACCGTACCGCGAAGAAAACACTTCACTTAACCATTAGAAGTCGAATCAGGCGGTACCACATAAGATTTAACAAAAGAACATCCCGGTCAAAGCCTTAATAGACCTTTTAGGTTACGTAAAAGGAGGTAAATTTCTTGTCTAGTTAAGAGAGTATCTGCTTCTGAAGTAGGATTTTGATGCAATTACTGCTAATTCACTAACACGTAAAGCTGTACATTCTTAAAGAGTTGTTTTGACTCATTCCGTCGTTTCAGTAATTCTTCTTCAAAGCCTTCACAGCGTAAGAAAAGACTTTATTTTCAGGATTCCACTAAATACTATCCAAAGTTACATTAAGTGTGTCAGACTGGTATCAGTTTACATAAACTAAACTAATTTGAGGCGACATCGCACGCACGGTTAAGGAAGGGGTTAGCCAGTTG